TTAATATATACACAACGCCATCTAGATCCAAACTAAGCGAAGCTTGCAGTATAACATACATATTACTAGGGGTAGTAGGGGTAGTGTTTAATAAATACATATATTCAGTGCAAGTTTACCAGAGGGAGACTTTGTACAAAAGTCGATTGCTTGGGTACCTCTGTCCCATTCGTGTTTCCACCGTGAAGCAGTTGTGTTTGCATGGATGCGTTTTGGTTTGAAGGGTGGGATATGGCGTGAATTTACTGGGTACAGAGGAATAACACCCGAATCCTCAGGAATGGCAACGCATGGGGGGTATCGTGGGTGAAACAGTATACTCTGTTATGTCCATGGTACTGCTCATGTCTATAGGCGACAGTTACCACTTTCCATCAGGTGGGCCGTCAACTTGTTTGCCATTCAAGTTGTATAAAAAAAAAGTGGATACAATAATCCTTTTACTAATATTATAAATGTGAAAGTGAGTTTATAACTTTGTTACCTTATACTGTCTTAATGGCTCGAGCAATCACTATGAAATTTGGCATACATATATTATATGGGATGGAAGTCTACCTTTTATTCCGGTCAGTGTAAATATCCCGGTCATGCGGATTATGTCGCGGGGAAAAGCAATTTTTTATGTAACTTAGAAGGGCAAATAAGCCGACGGCCCACCTGATGAAAAATCGAAACACAGTCATGCAAACAACTGCTTTACGGTAGAAACACGAAAGAGACAGAGGTGCCCAAGCAAATGACTTTTGTACAAAGTCTCCCTCTGATAAATATACAAAGAGTACTATTGCGTTCCTTCGCCTATAGACATGAATTTGCGTCAGATAGACTCTCCTCGGCTTGTTCGCACTTCGAAGTGCCATAAAAAATATTAATTTATACTAATATTATAAAGAGGAAAGACTTGATTGTTTGTCTGTTTATTTGCAATCGATAAATTTAAAAACTACTGAATAGACTTTAAAAATTATTTTCTGTATAGAAAGCTACGTTATCAGCGAGTAACATAAGGTATTATTTTCGTAAATTCTAACTACCCGTGCGAAGCCGGGGTGGGTCGCTAGTAATGTACATAAAAGTGGAAATTGATCGACTCATCGTCGCAAAGTCAAAACTACTGGGTGCAGACTAGAAAAAAAATATTGGGTAAGGTATTCATCATTATGTTTCATACTGTACACTTGTTTCCAAAATCTATGAATCGTTATATTATCTTGCAAAGTTAAAGAAGTTCTAATAACGAGTCCTTAGGGTCTTGTTAAAAAAACACGTTTATGTAAAGACTTAAAAGAATTAAAAAAAAAAATCCAAGCGCCGGATAGTCGCAGTAAGCAAAAACAACAAATGTTAAACTAAAACCAAACGAGACTAAAGGCGTGTATTTATTAAGATAAATTGTTTAATGAATTTGATCAGTCTGAGAATTTATGTAGGTACCTCAAACAGTATGCTCGAGGCTTACTTTACGCATTGCGGTAAAGAGGATGCCAGTATTATACGAGTATTCTACTGCGGGGGTAATTTGCAAAAATTAGAACGGAGTTTATTCTGAGCATCATAACTCTAAACCTATCTTTAAAATAAAAAAATCTATTTGATATCACAGTGAAACACTATTTTTAGGACCAATCTATATTATCATTACCATATCAGTTTTTTTTTATGGGTGAAGATGGAATGGTAGCCCTGTCTGCGCTATCGGTATACGCTGGCAGGGTACCAGTAAAAGGTGACAGGTGAGGATGAAGGCAGATCAATTCACCCATAGTGATCAATTGAACAAGAATTAACCACTATGGTTTCTAGGGGGAACCGCGTGGAGGTCGACCTGATAGGATATATTGCTAGCAATGGGGTTGTTAAGTCTCATTATTAACAAACCTTTCCCCCATATCAGTTGTTAATTGTCCACTGCTAAAAATAGGCTTCTTTCTATTAAAGGGGGAAGAGGGAGGGTTGCCACTCATTTTTGCCAGTAGGTTCCAGGGGGTTTGCTAGTAGTTGTCATGCTCGGTAGGCGGGTTGGAAACCGCAGATAGGGCTCGGAGATGTTTTAAGAGAGACGCTGCTGCACAACCTTTGACTACTATTTATTTAGTTCCCTTAGTCACCTATTACGACACTCACAGTAAAGGAAGAGGTGACTCATGCTGGGACCACACGACACCATAATCTATATAATATAATAAAATTGTAATAGAACGTCTGTACATGGGAGATATTAAAGAAAAATTGATATGAGGGGTTTTTTTTTTTGGTGAGTGAAAATGGCATGGTAACCCTGCCTGCGCTAACGGGACACGCCGGCGGAGCACCAGTGAAGGGTGATAGCTGAGAATGAAAACAGGCCAGTTAGCCCATCATGATGAATTCATCAGGAATTAACCATGACAGTTTCCAGGGGGAACCGCGAGGAGGTCGACCTGGTTGGGCATATTGCTAGCAATGGGATTCTCAGTCTTCATTGCTAACAATCCCTTTCCCCTGATATGAGGGGTTAGTAACATAGCGAGCCACTATTGAGACCGCTGACACGGCATCGCATTTAATTGTCGTGTAAATGACGTAAATGCCTAACTAGGTAACTGCTGACGCTTCACTACGAGGCTGGTCTACTTGATGACTTGGAAACGCACTCCTGGTTCACACCTCGAACTTATTTTAATTAATTCGGCCAGTTATTTTAATTAAAATTAGATATAGGAATATTATATTGTAACTTTTATAAACAGAATTAAATAAGTTGTGATAAAAATTCGTTTTTTTTTTTGAGACTTCCGATTGTTGTTTTCATACTGATATTAATGAGAGAAATAGATGGCAAAGCAATATTTTTTTAGAAATTTTGTTTGTGTGTTTTCCTGGCATTATGCAAAAAATACTGCACCAAACGATGCAATATGAGCTTAAATTGAGCGAAAATTGAACGCATTTATAAATTACGTTTACTTAAATTTAGAATGTAAGGATTCATTACATTTAAAATCTCGTATAAAAAATTTCTACATTCGCTATCGTCGGCAAGTGCACGAAGATGGGGAGGTGACACGGGGGCTCAAATTGAGCTGTGGTCGGGGGCATCTCATGTATTCACATGCTAATGCCCATCGTGGAACCCGAGTAGGTATGCAGGAATTTGAAATGTGCCACTTGACGGCAAATGGTAGTGCATGCGTGCGTATTACCTTGCCTTTGTTTGCTAATTTATATCCAGTTTGATTGATTGTTATTTAAACTTTTAAATGTTATACAACTATGTGTGTATTTTCATGTGTTCGTATTGTATCTGCTACGCCTAACTACTTTCGAGTTCTCCGTTGTATGTATTACCATAAACTGTTTCATGCCAGGGAGGGGTCCTGGTGACTGTGATACGGGTTCTTTGGATACCCAGTTCAGGCACCAGCTCTCTACAACTTTGATGTATCTATGGTATTATTTTAAATGTTTCATTGTTTTAAAAAGTTGTAAGATAAATAAATAAACATTATTATTATTATTATTATATTGTAATAAGTAATTTAATCCTATTTTAATATTTTTTAAACACAAAACATGCTGCGGTTGTCTCTAAATGTAAGAACAGTTAGCCGTAATCCATTACTGTAATGTATCGAAATGTTTCGCTGTATCTTATATTTGTGACGCTAAATAAATAAATATTTTTTTTTTTCATATTGACACGTAACTATTAAAGTCACTATTATGCTTTATTATTATTACTAAATATTTTTATACTATGTAATTGTAGTTTTTTAATTACGATTGTTAGAAATATATGAAGCATGTGCCCAGTCAATGGCCAATCTATATTAAGAAAAAGCTAATCTTTAATACATATTTACTTAGAAACTTTGTTTTTTGGCATAAAATAAATATTGAATTCAATATTTGCAACAATAAAGGTAAACTTCGTGGACCGTTAATGTCATTTTGATTGACATTGAATCGTTAAATAATTTTGTCAAACACGTAGAGTTTCCTGATTGTGTTGATTTTGTTTAGAAATTCTTTCATATTTACGCCTTGCGCAATGTATTTAATTTAAACATAAATGTATTATTATATAATTAATTTATTGTTTTTGCATTTGAATTTCTTATTATAATAATTAATTATAAAAAAAGTAAAAAACCCACAAATAGTTACACTAATGACGATAAGGTAAAACAATGGGACAGAGGTACCCAAGCAATCGACTTTTGTACAAAGTCTCCCTCTGGTGGATGTATATATGGATAATATATATCATTGGAATAAGAAAGAAAAATATTTATTTGGCAACACATACCAATAACAGTTATAATAAAAACATAAACAATTACAATTTGATAGAAAATACAAAAATAAATTTATATCCAATTAGGAATCATGCGACTAAAATGGTCACCACTCAGCTGTGCATATCACTATTTAGAGACTTATTGTTGTTTATGAGCATAACAATACATAATAATTATGCAATATTTTTTTGTTGTATGTAATTTAAAGTGGTCCTATGCAGTTATTTGTAAGTACACTAATTTGTTGAGCAGATAAATTATAAGTATCATCGCATATGTATTTAGCATTTATTATTATTTTTTAATTATAAATTTACAACGTCGCTATATTTATACATGAGTAAGATTGAAGACTATATATTAAGAGCACTCATACGTTTAGAGTTATATACATTTACTTGTGCCATGCATTCATATCTCAGACTACTCTGTGCATTACGAGTATAATATGATGCGGATGACGGAGCACTAAAACTATAAAAAAAAAAATTAAAATACATGATATACAAAGTTTCAATATATATGTTACATATATTCAACAAGACTATTGACAGAAAGTATCAATTATGATCATAAACTATGCGTTAACAAAAACTTCAAAAACTAAAATGACAGCTGTCACCCGCATAATACTCGAACGCACAGAGTATAAAAAGGAAATTTATTTGTTACGATTGTATATATATATAGGTATAGGTATAAACGTATAATACTCACTGTCTTCGCCCGCACAGGGCATGCCAGGCGCTGGTGGCACATTCGGAAACACTGAAACAAAGAGATAACATCATTAGCTTTGAATTACACTCCAGGAACAAAAGTCAGACACAAAAGCCGACTGTCCAGGCAATACTAACACTCGCCGCCGCGTCTTCTATTTTCCGACGATATTGCATTCCGGGAGAGAAACGAAAATAAAACAGCAAACGTCCGATTCAGTCATTGTTTTCGACGATAAATAAAGGTTTGGAAACAATCTGGGGGTTGTGTTACAAATTGAGTTTTGACATTTGCCCTCATATATTTTTGAAGTATGTGCACACTGGGATTTATAAAAAAAAAACATACAGTATTTAGCTTGATTGGAAGATAATTTTTTTATGATACTTGGAATGGTAGACGAGCTGACGGCCCACTTGGAAAGGCCCGGATGGAAAGCGGTAACCGTCGCCTATAGACCCGATCCTAACCCTTTCATGTGTTACAACTTCTGAGGACTATGGTTTTTTTTTTGATAAATGATAATGGAACGGTCACTTCACCTGCGCTATGGGTATATATGAGAAGAATAAAAGTACATGGTGTTAAATGAATACCTATATAAAAAATAAATCACGTTGGTTTCCAATGAGAACAGCGTAGAGGTCGAACTAACAGGTATACTGCTACCAATGGGACCGCTAGTTTTCATTACTAATAATCCTTTTCTCCCGAATTAGGGAGAAAACCTGACTGACTGACTACCGCAGCCCATGAGCACCTACAACACCAGAGGCATTGCAAATATGCTGCTGGTCTTTCAAAAAAATGCTCATTTCTGCTATGGTGTACCTCCGTACCATGTAACATTACTACCCATCAAATTAAAACACAAAAACGGCAGAGGGGGAAAAGGATTGTTAGTAATGGGTTCTAATGAACCCATTACTAGCAATACATCCTATCAGGTAGACCTCCACGCGGTTTCCCCTGGAAACCATCGTAGTTAATTCTAGTGGAATTCGTCACGATGGGCTAATTGACCTGCTTTCATCCCTCAGTGGTGCTTCGCCAGCGCTATCGCACCGATAGCGCAGGTGGGGTTACCATTCCATTATCACTCAATAAATAAAAAAGCTATACGGTAGAAACACGAGGGACAGACGTACTTTCGTTGGAAGGTAGTATTAATTGTTTCGAATATACAGCGTGTATAAAAATAATAAAAGTGACAAAAATGTCGCAGTGTTGTACGCTTAATATTACTGTTATATTATATCAAATCATCATCATCATCATCATCTCAGTCAATATCTATTCACTACTGAACGTAGGCCTCCCCCATAGACTCCCATAAGGAACGGTCCTGAACCATCTGCGTCCACTGACTCCCTGTAACGCATTTGAGGTCGTCATTCCGTTTAGTAGGGGGTCGTCCTACACTGCGTTTGACCGTACGGAGTTATCACTCAAGAACCTTAATTTATCCAAGTACTAATTTAAAATATTAATTTATATATTTACCGGAGCGGGTTGTTAGTATTAAATAAAGTATTTTACCGTATTGCAAACAGTAGGATAATAGTATGCCGAAATCGTCAATTCAATTAAAAACAAGAACAAAAGCCAAAATACCGATTGTTTAAAACAAATTGGATCCCGCCATCGAAACTTGTCGAAGTACTCAATACCAGTACTCGCAATGTATGCATTTGTATTACGAATCGGCAGTGGGTGGGTATGCTTTGTACTTCGATGGCCATACGCGTCGAGTGTTCCATGTTTTGCTAGTCTATTACAGTTTAGGAATTTTGGCGTTTAAACGGGAAAAATATTCTGATGGATAATATTGGTAAATGCTGTGTGGTCCCCGCATAGAATGGGGCCATTTTCTCTTCTGTGGGTAGGTGGGTTTGTAGGTTTCAGTTTTTATAAATAAGCGGTTGTTTTTAATAAGTGGAATGGTAATCCCGTATGCGCTATTGGTATACATTGGCAATAGGTGAAGATGAAGACAGACAGACCGGAGGGAGACTTGGTGGGGCACCAGTGATAGACGATAGGTGATGATGAATTTACAGGGTACAGAGGAATATTACAGAGTCCTCAGGAATGGCAACCATCGTTACTCTGTTATGTCCATGGTACAAGTCTCTAATTAAACACGATGTTTTCATTCTAAGTTGAAAAAAAAAGACAGATCGTTGGCCCATCGTGAAGAAATTAACAAGAATTAAACATATGGTTTCCATAATATGCGTAGAGGTCGAATAGGGTATATTGCTGTTGAGAACCTATTACTGAAAATCCTTTTCTTCAAGAATAAAGGGATTTTCAGTTAGTGGTTTATATAGGTTATGTAGCTAGTAGTAAATCGATTTAATGGAATTAAACCATACGGTTCATTCCCATGTTGTTAATTTCTTATTAATTTTCTGATGATTGGACTCGCTATTTTACATTACAGAGCAAAACGAAAATTATTTGCGGAACAAAACTTCTACTTGTAAATGGTTAAGTGTTCTAAATTCAACTGCTACCACGAGCGCGAGCGAATCCGCGGGATACAACTAGTGGTTAATAGATGATTTAGTTTGATAATGACCCTGTCCAATATAAATACCATAAGCCATTAATGTAACAAGAGATACAATCAACAATACTATCAATGGTATCTAAACTTTACACACAATGATGCCGCCTATCATTTATTTAACACGTTATCCATTTAATATGAATAATCCCATTAATATTATAGTTATGAGAGTTATTAGATATTAGTTTATTTATCATTCAATCACGATTAAACTGTTGAACGAATTTGGATCGAATTTTTACAGAGATAAATCACATTTTAATATAAAGAGTGAAATTCATCCTATTAAGGAAGAAACCTTATTGTTTTATGATATTATCTTTTACCCGAGGGAGACTATGTATAAAAGTCGATTACTTGGGCACCACTGTCTCATTCATGTTTCTACCGTAAAGCAATTGTGTTTGCATAGCTGTGTTTCGGTTTGAAGGGTAGGATATGACAGCCGATTTACAGGGTATAGAGGAATAACACAATCCTCAGGAATGACAACGCGTAAAGAGTATCATGGGCAATACAATATGTATACTCTGTTACGTCCATGGTACTGTTCGAGTTTATAGGTTACCACTTTCCATCAGGTGGGTCGTCAGTTTATTTGCCTTTCTAAGTTGCATAAAAAAATGTCAAATAAGCTGACTGCCTATTTGATTGCAGTAACGCGTGTGGGACAGAAGTACCCATGAAGATGATATATATAAAGTCCCCCTGTGGAAAATCTCGTATTAACAGCTCGACCAATCGTAATAAAACTTAATATACACGTTGTATTTTAGATGTTGAACAAACTACGCTTTTATTGTGGTCAATTAATCGATCACGCAGGCGAATTCGCTGGATGAATTCGAATTCCCTCTTGGGGGATTTTGCCAGTAGTTACCATACTTGGCAGGTGGATTGGCAACCGCAGTAAGGCTAAGAGGGACGCTGGTACCCATCCTTCGACAATAAGTTCCCTTAGTCGCCTCTTACGACACCCACGGAAAAGGAAGGGGTGGGCTATCCTATGCCGGGACTACACGTTCAGAATTCACGGATAAAAACGAGTATATAGCGACCGGAGCTTCTGTGGCATAGGCCGCTTCGGTGCTTCCGTTGCTTGGAGGAAGGACATGTGCTGCAAGATGCCCATCTTGCAGTCATGAGCAGGACCGTAGCGGTCTATGTTACCGCTGCGGAAACGAAGGCCATAACGCGGCGATGTGCGTGGCCGACCCAAAGTGTGCGTATCTTTTGGGTAAGCGTGATCCATCCTAGATCTTATTATCACTTATCCTCAGGTGAAGTGAGATCAAGTGCAAACCCATCTTACAATGAAAATATGTATTACAACAAAAACACGTTTTAAAGTTTCAAGCGACAAATGATATTCATACGCTGCCTCGTTTTAAAAATCAACATTGTAATTAACACATAAAACCATATTTGTGCCGGCCGTTGCGCTGAAATCATACAACAAAGTTTTTCAATATAATTGATTTAGCGCGCTGAAGTTCAGTGATTCCGCAACGCTGTGTGCAATTGATATTGGATTGTACTCGTATATGTATCGTTTATTCTGTATTTAAGTAAATACGTGGTGTAAGGGATCTTGCTGTTTTTTTTTTTTATACAACTTAGAATGGCAAACAAGCTGACGGCCCACCTGATGGAAAGTGGTAACCGTCGCCTATAGACATGAGCAGTACCATGGACATAACAGACTATACTGTTTCGCCTATGATACCTCCCATGCGTTGTCATTCCTGAGGACTCAGGTGTTATTCCTCTGTATCCAGTAAATTCACGCCATATCCCACCCTTCAAACCGAAACACAGCCATGCAAACACAGCTGCTTCACAGTTAAAACACGAATGGGATAGAGGAATCCAAGCAATCGACTTTTGTACAAAGTCTCCCTTTGGTAAATGGTTACCCCGCCCGTGCTGTCGGTATACGCCGGCGAGGCACCAGTGATAGATGAAGGCAGGTCAGTTGGCCAATCGTAAAGAATTAACCACGATGGTTTCCAAGGGAAACCGCGTGAAGGTCGACCTGATAGGGTATATTACTAGCAATGGGGCTTTTAGAACCCATTACTAACAAACTCTCCTCTCTCTTGTTATGTGGACGCGGCAATATTGCGTTTAAAGATATAAATATTTAGAGTAATTACATGAAAATTACACAATTTTGCTATTTAATTTCCTGATGTATGTTATATTAAGGTACAGCACATTTAATTCTAACAAACTGCATTTACTTAAAACTAATTTCACTTTAAAACGTAAAAATAGTTAGATTATTATTTTGCTCATACTCCCACAAAATCTCCCACATACTCTAACATATAGGTTAGGTTATTATATTGTCTCTCTTTTACATTGCCAATCATATAGATTGGTAATGTAAAAGAGGTTATAATGTTATAAAAGTACTATTATAGTTTATAATCTAAGTATCTAGACGTATGTTTTGTATGAGGATCGAACC